CGAAACACCGGGATACGTCCCTATGTTTCTTCTCCTTTTTCGAAACACCGGGATACGTCCCTATGTTTCTTTCACCTTTTTCGAAACACCGGGATACGTCCCTACGTTTCTCTCTCTTTCCGAAATACCGGGATACGTCCCTATGTTTCTCCCCCTTCGGTTAAAAGCGTTCGGAATACGTTCCAATGCTTACACCATTCTGAAACACCGGGATACGTCCCTATGTTTCTTTCACCTTTTTCGAAACACCGGGATACGTCCCTACGTTTCTCTCTCATTCTGAAACACCGGGATACGTCCTACGTTTCTCTCTTTTTGAAACACCGGGATACGTTCCTACGTTTCTCTCTTCCTTTTCCGAGACACTGGGATACGCCCTTATGTTTCTCTCCCTTTTCCGAAACACCGGGATACGTCCCTATGCTTCTTTCTCCTTTTCTGAAACACCGGGATATGTCCCTATGTTTCTTCTCCTTTGTTGAAACTTTTGGGATATGTCCCTATCCTTTGGGATACGTCCCTAACCTTTGGGATACGTCCCTAATCCTTGGGATACGTCCCTAACCGTTGGGATACGTCCCTAATCCTTGGGATACGTCCCTAACCCTTGGGATACGTCCCTAACCTTCGGGATACATCCCTAATCCTTGGGATGCGTCCCTAATCCTCGGGATACGTCCCTATGTCTCTCCCTCTTCGGTTAAAAGCGTTTGGAATATGTTCCAAAGCTCACACCATTCCGAAACACTGGGATATGTCCCTATGTTTCTCCCTGTCCCATTCCCCACACGATTTCAGTGTGTTTGGAATTCATCTTAAGTTGCATTGTCATGCACACCTCTTCACTTGCGTTGTCACGCACATTCCACTTGCATTGTTTTATCAAACCGGCTTCGCGAAAGCATATAAGTCCAATTACAAACCGGCTTCGCGAAAGCGTATAAGTCCAATTACAAGCCGGCTTCGCGTAGCGTATAAGTCCAATTATCAAAATCTTCCTGCATATCATTTTGCATCTTGCCCCCTGCCTGCGGGCATGCCTGCGGGCATATCTTTGTTATTTCGCCTGTTTGTCTAAGTCTTCGGCCTTGTCAAAAATGGGTCGTCTTTGGGCTTTGACATTCACTCCCGTCACTTATGACTTTCGAGTTCTGTCAAAGAGGGGCAACTGTAGACACCCCATTTTTGACCGACCTTGAGACTCAGACGTCACCAGTTGAGCACTCGGTGGTATTGCATATTGTGCTCATTCAGAAGTTTCAGAGTCTCGGCTGCGAGCCTTGCCTTCAGACTTCTGGACTCTTTTGTGCTTTTCCTCGGTTTGCGAACCAAGCTCTGTTTTCTCTTCTCGAAGGGAGGGAGAAGTCTCGTAGATCATCTCTTAGTGGCCGTAGGCTACGTTTCGTGGTCGTAGGCCATTTTGCCCGTTTGGAGCTCGGTTTCCGGTTTTTCAGAGCCGTTGGCCGTATGCCTCGGTTCGGGACCGCTTAACCACCTCCGTTTGCCTCAGTTTTTGGCATACATCTTATTTGCTCCCTTTTGAGGGACACTGTGGTCCGAGAGACCAACTTCGTGGTCGGACACCACTTCCGGTGCCTAACAGCCCACTTTCGGGGCCCTAAACTGCGTGTTTTGGCTCCCGAACCTTCATTTTGTATTTTTGGGCTCCGACCCGAACTTGAGATAGTCATATTTTGATATCCTTTTCATGTTTGATTAAGGACCTTTTACTGTTTGAGATCTCCTCCTATCACTTGCTT